TCTCACGTTTTCATGGGGACACTGACCTATTTAAGGAAGGTCAGGGTGGAGAAAGTTTTAGGCATGACTACACTTTTTTTGGTGGGGGGGACCAGAATGTCTAGATTAGAGATACATCTCTGCTATTTTCTAACTGTGTAACCTTGGATTGCTTAACGTCTCCATCTAAGTTTTTTATATCTATGAAATAGGGATACAAATAGTACTAATCTCTTTGGGAGTATTAAATGAATTGATACATTTAACACCCTTTGAATAGTACCTACCACATAAGAAGCATAATGAAAACTAGCTACTCTTTGTGGGTAAAAGTCCTGATATCTTTTTATGTGGGTTGGACAGAGCTGGATGTGGATCCCCAGGGCACCATAGCAGTACTGGCAGGGACCTCAGTGTGCACAAGAGTCAGAGATGGTCACTTGAGGCTCTGGGAAGACAGGACAACCAACACAAATACCCGAGCATGGAAGATTTGAGGAGCTGAAAAGAAGACAGGGTGGCTGCAGGATAGCGCCCCACACGTTCAGGCCTTTGCCAAATTTCTGGTGATTTTTTCAAATACTTTTCATGTGTATATAAGGAAAAACATATTTATATATGTTCATATAAAATATTTTTTATAATGTAAGTTAATATACTTTTTTTTCATTTTACCACGTGATTCAGAAATTTGTTCACACCAGGGCACAGAGGTGGTCTCATTCCCCTTTTTTACACTGCATAGTATTCCATCATAGCATTTGTTTAACCAGAACCCCACTGAGAACATTTATTTCCAGCCTTCTGCTACTACAGACAGTGTTACAGTGAATAACTCAGTGTAACAGTCATTTTAGAGTTCTGTGAGTGCCCACAGAAGATAAATGCCTACAAATGAAATTTCTGCCTCAAAGAGTATGTGCATTTTTAAATAGATATTGTTAAAGTGCTTTCCATAGAGGTTGTATGCATTTAAACACCCACTGGCTCTATATGAGAACGTTTTCTTATATCTTAGACAACACACTGTATTATTAAACTTTTTGATCTTTGCTAACATAAGTGGAATCAGCTATCTCAGTATAAAATTTTGATTTTCATGTTTTTATTACATGTAAGATAGGGCATCTTTGCACATTTTTATTTTGAGTTTTTGGCCTTTACTTATTCTTAAGAGATTTTTATATCTCAGAAAATGAGCTTTCTGTTCGATCTGTCGTAAATTTTTTTCAAGTTTGTCATTAACTCTCTGACTGTGCTTATGGAGGTTGAAATATATTTATGCATTAAAATTTATCTATATTTCTTTTGGGCTTCTGATGCCTTTCCATATTTAGCAAGCACTGTTGCAGTCCAAGAATATAAAGAAAATTTCCCATAATTTCTTCTAATGCTTCCATGGTTTATTATTTTATATTTAAATCTCTGATACATTTAGGATTTGTCCTGCTGTAGGGTATGATGTATGGCTCACACTTCTTTTTTCCTAAATGACTACTTAATTATCTCAATACCATATGTTGAATAAATCATTTTTTTTGCCCACCGACTTAAAATGTAACTGTTAACCAAGACTAGAACTATGTAAATCGTTTTATTCTGGAAATAATCCCTGAAAAAATAAGAAATCTTCTTTTCTATGTGTGTTGTAAAAATCCAGATTCACTCGTGCTCTGAACAATCATTCATGTGGTAGCCCTATGATAAAAGTAACTTTATTGTCCTCAATTTATAGACTAGGAAACTAACTGAACCCGAGAGAAACTGAAAACTTGCTCAAGATCACACCACTAGTAAGTGACTGAGTCCAAGCTATTAATCACTATGATACAGGCCTACTTAGTTTAAAGAAATATTAAATGATGCTGTGTTCATTGCAGTTATTCCTGGCACCTGTAAAGTGGGGATAACAAACTTACCTCTATGTGTGGGTTGCTCTGAAGATTAATCATTCAGTCCTTGTGCATACCAAGGACCTAGTCAGTGCTAGCTATTTATATTCATTTAACGTTTTAGGGCTTCTTTTGCTCAGAGCCATATATTTCTGTAACACTAAACACTGAGACCTAAATCTGGGTGTGAATCTCAAACTAACAACTCACTTCTCTGAGTCTTCTTTGCATCTACAAAATGGGTTCAGTAGCAATACTTACTTATAAATATTGCTTTACAGATTAAATGAGATAAAATATGTGAAGAGCCCAGTCCAGCATTCTTCTGAATGCTCTACCTTGCAAGCCTACAGGTTTTTCTATGTTGCTGGGCATCTACCTGCTCAGATAGTCACAAGGGTGCTGTTCTTCTCACTTTCAGCAGAACAACTCTTCAGTCTGGAATGGGCAGCTAAGAATTGCAAATAGTTCAGCCTTAGACCTAACTGTTAAAAAATCTTACCTAAATGGGTCTACGGTACCCCACAGTTATGGTTTCTGGTAGGAAGTTGGGCTGAGTGGGTGCTGGCTTCAGGACAGACCCCAGAGACCAATGCTCTAATTGACACTGGTTTCCCTCCCCCGAGGAGGGAAATATGCTTCTTCCTTCTGCCATGGGATGCCTCTCCTCCAAGATACTACTGCTTTTCCCTTTCTGGTCTCTGGAGCCAAATGAACTTAATATTTCCGGCTATGAGATCAGTTTACACTCTAAATGACACCTTGACTCTCCTCTGTTACCAGCAGCCTTGGAGCCTTCCTGCCTTCCTGCCTCTTTCCACCAAGGTCAGCTCTAACTTTTGCCTAAGAGTTTGGACTCCAGGTAATGCTGGCCTCCTGTTCCCCATTAAGCTGGAGAATCCCTAGGTTTCTCTGCAATTCCAGGTTTTGGCTGGTTGAACTGCTTCTTATGCAGACCTTACAGCACTTGACAAATTAAGTCCAGTGCCAGCAAGCATTGTTTGGTCAAGGAAGGCAAGTTTCACCTTCCTTTTACAAACACTCAAAGAGCAAATGACTGGTCTCAGCCTGATTATGGTCTAACAGTTATCAAGCATAAGCTCCTGAACTAAATCTTATGTTCTCTTTCACTGAGTTCTCACAGTAACTGTATGAGGGATGTGGGCCTGGCTGGGCAGGTGGCAGGTGAAGGCCTCATTGGTCCATGCTCATCACACAGGACAGATTTCTGTGTTAGGGAAGGTTGGATGGGAACCTGAATGAACTAGACATTGTCAGGAGATCACATCAGGAGAGAAGCTCACAGAGCAGGATCAGGGTTTTGGAGCATCAAGTGTAAATCTACTCTTGTGTTACTGTCCACTTGGGGTTGTCTGGTATGAAGATCCATCTTGATGGAGGACTGTTTGTTTTCTGGCTGGGTGGTCCATTTTTCTGTCTAACTGGAGATCTGTCTGGCTCATGGAGCATCTGTCTAGTTGGGGATCTGTCTGGCTGCAGTCCTTCTGGCTGGGGGTCTGCATATCTGTCTAGCCAGAGGTCTTTCTGAGGGTCTTACCAAGCTGGCCTTCAGTCTGTCTGGAGTTCACTTTTCCAGCTATCTACCTGGAGATTTATCATCCCGTCTGGCTACAGGCTGATCTGTCAGTCTGGGGTCAGTCCATCTGTCTGTGAGGCTAGGTGTCTGTCTTACCAGCTGCAGATCTATCTGCCAAACTAGCAATCTGTGTGCATCTGCTGTCAGCTCAAGGACTGGAGGTTTGTCTGGCCAGGGTCTGTGTGAACAGCTCAGAGTTAGTCTGGTTGGGGGTCTTCCTGTCAGATTTGGGTCCATCTAGTTGGGGATCTATCTAAATAGGGTCTGACTTGTTGGGGATCCATTCATCTCTCCAGATGGGGGTCCACCTGTGCATCTGGTTTGGGTTCTGTCTGTCTAGCTCAGAATCTAGTTGGCTAGTTGGCTTGGGGTTCTTTTATCTCTGAGCATAGTGCCTCACTGACTGGCTGGGGTCATCTGTCATGTGTCTGACTAGGGGTTCATCCTCCAATGAGGTCCTGAGAGATTGGAGGGTTGATCTGGTGAGCAGGGATCTAGCCTGTTTGAAGGATCTGCTGATTAGCAAGGTATGCCAAGCTGGTAGATGGTTTGGACAGTGGGCGATTGGTCTGGCTTAGGATGCTTATCTACCTGAGGGTTTGTCTACTTATCTGGCCTGCTGACTTCCTGGGGATCCACCTGGCAGTCTTCCCAGCAGGTGGTTCATCAATTTGTCCGCTAAAATGTGGGTCTTTGGAATTGGTGAGTTGGTGGGGACTACCCACCTATCTGCCTTGCTGGAAGGTGTCTGTACAATCAAGGGTCTTTCTGTCTGGCTGGGAGTCCATCTGGCTGGTTGGAGTCTGACTAGGTCTGTCAGTCTATCTGCCCACTTGGGGCTGGGTCTGTCTAGCTGAGAGGATGTCTGTATCTGTTCAGCTAGGGATTTGTTTATGTCTGTCTGGGAGTCCATCCACCTAGGGGTCCATCTGGCTGGTGTCTGGCTGGCTGCCTAGCTGGGAGAGGGGTCTTTTTGATGGTCTCTCTTGCGGGGGGGGGGGGTGGTCTGTCAGGCTGTTAGTTGATTTGTCTGACGGGAGGTCCATCCATCCAGCTGTGGACTGTCCCTCTGAAGGTCTGGCTGTCTAGGTGTATGGCTATCTACTTGTCCTGGTTGGCGGCCCATCTGTCTGTGTACCCATGTGGGGATCTTTTTTACCTGTTTGAAAGCAGTTTGTTGTGTTGTTATACTTGGCTTGGATCTGTCTGAATGGTGGTTGGGGGGTGGGGGAGTGTCTATCAGTCTTTTTCAGGGCCTACCCATTTCTGTGTCCAGCTGAGTGTTTAAGTGAGGGAGGCTCAGATATTGAGATGAACTAGTCCATTATGTGGTGATGGCGAAGTCTCCAGAAGCCCATCTGCCCATCCTTTTCTTCACACCTGAGAGAATCTGCCTAGTCCCCTGGGGTTGGGCCCGTTCCTGATGTTTATTCTTGAATCTGTTCACTGCAGTCTCACCAGCCATTATCTCCCAACTACCTCCCCCAGCCTCAAGCCTTGAATACTATAATCATTGGGGCAAAGCCCCTACATTTCCACCCTGAGAAACTTTTATTTTGATCCAGGACCAGCATTCCCATTTCCAACACTTCACATAGCAGAGAATGACCGTCAGCAGTCCAGGTGCCCATGTGAGGCAGCAGGCAGGCAGGGTGCAGCGTTCACACGTGGGTCCACTCAGCAGGGGGGTCCCGGGGCCCTTTAGGCCTTCCAATGCGCAGGTTGAAGCCTGGAAGAAGGGCACCATGTGTTTTGTGGAGAAGCTGAAGCGCGGAGATGTGTGGAAGGTCATCCTTAAGCCTCCAGGCCCTGGTTGTTTACTGCAGCCAAATCTGCAGAACTCAGGAGAGTGTGAGCCCCATGCCACCATCCCTAAACCCCCAAATCCTGGTCAAAGCTGCGGAGGCCCAGCAACCCAGGCTTTGACTCACCTAGCCCACCATTCTGAGCTCCATCCACCACATCCTCATAGGCGTCAGGCCCAGCAGGGCTTTGGTCAGCAGGAACTGCGGGCAGAAAACCACCCCCCAAGGATTGACTCAGGCAGCCCCACGGAGCTCCGGAACCCACCCGGGGCAGAACTGCATCCTCCAGGCTCCCGGGGCCTGAGCTGGCAGGCTGGGGGCCAGGGCGGTGAGGGCAGCCGGAGGGCGGGTAGCGGAAACGGACGTGTCCGCCTGGACTAGCTAGCGTCGCCAGAGAAACGGACCCAGCCTTGAGTCCAAGACTAGGCCTGGCACCCTTTTCCGGCCGTGACCGGAGTTGGCCAACAGTCCCAGAGGCGTGGCCGGGAGAGCACGTACGTCAGCTTAGACCCTGACCAGGCCGGACTTGGGGGCGGGTGTGTGTGTGTGTGTGTCGGGGGGGGGGGGGGCGCTCCTTGAGGCCGTCAGGGACTTCCCGACCCCAGCAAGACTGGGTCTGGAGAAGGCGCAGGTGGGTGCCAGCCCTCCCGCCTGGCGCCCCGGCCCGGCCCACCCCGGACTCACCGCGGCCGGGCAGCAACCCACGCGCGTCCTCCGCGTGCGCCTGCGGCCGCCGGGCGCGCGGCGTCACCTGGCTGTAGAGCGGCGCCTCCTCCGCGCCGCGCCCTCGCGCCCCCGCCCCGGTGCCCGCGGGCGCCCCGCGCTTCTGCACCACCGCGTACGTGTCGGCCATGGCGAGGGCCGGGGGCCCAGACACCGAGATGCTTCTGCGGATGGGGCGGGCGGGGGAGGAAGTGAAGCGACTGAGCCAAGGGAGGGAGGGGGTGGGGAGTGCGCTTAGCTCGCCAACCGCCGGCTTCCTTCCCGCCCGAGGCTGCTCGCCGGTCGCAGGTCGGGGAAAGCAGGCGGGCAGGTCTCAGGGGAGAGAGGGAGCGGTCTCTGGATCTCGGTTCTGTGTCTCGAGTGCCTGGCAGGTTAGGTGGGTGAAGGGAAGGGGACAGCCTGGCAGGTGAATGGGGCAGGGTATTGGTACTGAGGGGTGGTCATTTCTGTGTACATGTCCGAATAAAAGAATGAGGAAGTGGCATCTAAAAGAGAGGGAGGGATAGCCTCAAAATGGAGAGCTAGTCTAAAGGACGTGGGGGTGAAATCTGCTGCAAACGAAGGTTCACTCTGTGTCCCCAGAGTCATGACATGAGGCCTGACAAGTGGGCGGCCTCAAGAAATATTTGCTAAATTAATGTCTAGGGAAGCAAAGAAAGGGCTAACATAGGGGCTAGACTTAGAGGCAGAGGCAATGGGATCTCTGGGATCAAAGTGTCATCTTGGGTCAGGTTCCCGGACTCAGTTCAAAGAAAGAGCCAGTGAATATTTGGTAAACTGAACAGCAAGGAAGGGCTGGAGTTTCAAGGGCGAGGAAAGGGTTAGCCTCTGAGCATGAGAAATTGGAAAGGGAAGAACGAGGAGATGGAGCTGGGTACCTGAGGACCTCGCCAGGTGGGCGCGGTGTGGTGGGAAGGGTCTGGAAAGTCTGGAAGGAGAGGGCATCGTCGTAGATTGGGGCACAATTCTGGGGAAAGACAGGAGGGAGAGGGTATGAAACTTGGAGGAAACTGGCCAGACTCCTGATGGAGGTGACCATGGATTCTGGGGTGGGGAAGCTTAAGAGGAATAGTCTGATAAGGTAGCAAGGAGGACAAAAGTGGATCTCATAGTCAGTCTTTGCTCCCAGAAGGAGTCCATGGGCTAGATGCTGCAGTGATGGTGGCCAAAGACTTCTGCTCTGGGTCCTGGTCTCTGAGGGTGTTGATGGTGGGCAGGAAGAGAGTAGGAAGGGGACCTTGGTACCTCCTTGAAATTCTGGTAAACGGGGCTGGTGTTTTGGAGTGCTGAGAACATCTGAGCCACTGTGTAGTATAGGAACCTGTACTGCTCCTGGTGGGGGAAGAGGAATCATCAGAAAGGGAAGACAAGAGGAGGAGGGATGTGTCCTTGTATTGAGGAGACTGAGGCTCTCACCTCTGTCTGCACAGCTGCGGGCCGCTGCTTTCTCATCTCCAGGACCACGTTGAAGAGGCTGAAGTTAGGTGGGATCATCTGGGGCAGAGAGGGCACATGAGCAGGACCTGGTGGGCATGGGACCTGCACTGCACATAAGCACACATATGCCCTATTCATACCTGGGTGAGGAGCAACTGTCTCACATAATCCACAGTGCACAGGACACCTGTTCGCCCACAACCTGCGCTGACAGGCAAGAATAAGCATAAGCTTAGTCAGGACCTGCCCACAACCCCTTTTATATGGGGCGTTTGGGGTTGGGAGTGAAGGTCCTAATCGAGGATCCCCTGCAGCACCTTTTGATTCTCAGAATCCCCAGATTACAATTTAAAAGAAAAAACTTTTTAATTGCTTACATTTGTTGAGCATCAACTCTGTGTTTACTACTCTCCCGCAGGCAGTCTGCACTCAATAAATGCTAAATTTCAGTTGATACAGCACAAGCTAGTGTGGCTTCAGGTTTTTCAAAAGAGGCACTCAAACTGTGACACTGGCTTCAAGGCCTGCACTGGCCTCCCTGACTTCCACATCCCCCCCACCCGCAGTCATCTCTGTCTCACCAGACCCCCATAAAACCCATTTCTTAAACCTGCAGTGGACACAGAGGGGGCTGGGTCCAGATCCCTGGAGGCGACGGGCTTCCTCCACGATGGTGAGCACATGTTTAGGATTGCTAGGGACTCCTCTGTCTGGCCAGGACATATATTGCAGCTGGTACACAGAACGACATTCCTGAAACACAGGAAAAGAGTGACAAATAATAAAAAAGCATTTATTGAGTACCTACTGCTTGTCAGGCCCAGTTCTAAACATCTTCCATTTAAATCCAACAGATAATAACTGAGGAGATAGGTACTATTGCTAATGCCCATTTTACAAATGAGAAAACAGAGACAGAAAATAGCTCTCCTCATATGGGAGCCTCCTCCTCCCTTTAAGTACCTTCTGAAAAGTAATCTGGAGGGTCCTGAGCATGATGTCTGCATTCAGCCATGTCTCCCTTGTCTGAGGATGTGGGGCAGGTGGGAAGAGAGAGGAGAGCAAAGACCACAGGTGCCAAAAGACATTTGCAGAAAACAAAGCATTTCTCATTAAAAATCAAAGGCAACATATTTTTAAAAATTCATTCAGCTCAAACATCCCCCATGGCTTTCCTGAAGGAAACATTTGATAGAGGGGAGAAAGAACTATGATTAAAAACCCCAACAAGCTCATTTATAGTGAAAAAAGAAAAAAAGATTTCTGTTCTACAAAAGTTTTATTGTACTTATGTACCAACTATATTTGACTTGAGGTAAGAGATTTTCCTGAGTTGTGAAATGGTAAGGGAAATGGGGATTTTAAGAACTTAACCAGGCACATTTATATAACAGAGATAACCATGATCATAGATAAAATGCAAAAGCAATGTATATATTGAGTTTTGGCTATTGCACCCTAATACCAGAGGGTTCCCTGCAGTGTGAGGGGACTGTGGGAAAACTCATCCTTTCAGGCCCAGCCCAAAAGCTTCCCTGAAAATCTTCTGTGAAACCTCCCACAACATCCAAGACTTCATAAAACACTATTCCCACCTCTGCCCCAGCTCACCAGGGTGATGCAGAAAAGTCCAATCTGTAGTGGTTCCTGTTCTTGGGCCCAGTAACGCTCACACTTTTTCTGCAAAAGGCAAGGGAGAAAGGGCAGGGAGTGAAGAGCAGTAGTCTGCTTTAGAGTTCCAGCTCAATACATCCCCCCCCCCCCCCACAGGACACCTCAGGCATTGCTGGTGGAAGCACAGATAGCTGTAGCTATCATGCAGGCCGGCTGGCAGAGCCTTGTCAGATTAAACACACAGACACAGTGGAGACTTGTGCTTCTGACTATGCAGGAGGAAGGCAGGCCAGAATATTCTCATACTGTAAGCAAATAAAAAATTGGACAGAACATATGAGCCACTATTTTCAGACATTGGACCACAGGTATTGCAGGATTATGATCACTGAACAAAGGGAAACATATGGATCAAATCTTATGACTGCCCCAGCTTACTGCCTAGAGGCAGTCATCAGCCTGCAGGACATGGATAGTCCAATGATCCCACTGAGTTGAGGAGCCAGAGATCATGGCTCAGGGAGGCCAAAGCAGCTAGAATTTGAAGGGCAGAGTCTTGGAAAGAACAGAGCTATGCAAACAAGAGTTAAAAATTTCAGAAGTCTGCATATGGTCCCCTTGAGTATTATTAGCTGAATAATAATCTGAGCATCATGAAACTCTCTGAAGTCAGGCAAGAATAACTTCCTACAAAAGAATAATAGCTAAGGACCTATAAGATGAATATTTCCTATAATGATCATAATGGGATAGAAATAATTTACATTCCTCCAGCCAAAGTGGAGAGACCCAACTGACTATAAGGGCATTCAATAGGGAACCAAGAAGGACCACATGTTAGAAGTAGAATGAAATTAGTTCTAGAATAAAGGCTACTCTAGACCTGCCCTACAAAAGCTTTAAAACAAACCTTAAAATGATCAAACCTCCAAAAGTAACTTAACTGCCTTCCAGAAAAAGTCCAACACTCTTTAAAGGAAGACAATAAAATCTAACAGTTACCTACAAAATTAAAAATGTCAAGCATCCAATAAAAATTTACTAGACATACAAAGAAATAAGAAAACATGATCCATAACCAGGAGAAAAATAAGTGAATAGAAGATCCAATAAGGATGAAGAAAGAAGTAGACCTTTAAACAGTTTTTTAAAAATATTTTAAATATACTTGAAGATGAAAAGGAAAACATGAACATAATGAAAGTGAAACAAAAGATAGAGAAAATACCGAAATGGAACTTCTAGAGAGGAAATATAAAATACATGAAATTTAAAAAGTCACTAATAGCAGACAGATACAGAAGAAAAGATCAGTGAACATGAAGACATAGCAAAAGAATCTATTTAAAATGAAAAAAACAAAAATTACTGGGAAAAAATGAACAAAGAATCAGTTACCTGTGGAAATATACCAAATGGTCTAAAGTATGTGTATCTGGAGTCCAGAAGAAGATGAGGAGAGAGGGGAGAACGGAAACTATATTTGAAAAAATAATCGCTGGAAAATTTTCCAAATTTGATAAAACCGCAAACCCACAAGTCCAAGAAAGTCAACTATAAGGAGAATAAACATAAAGAAAGCCAAACCAAGGCAGATCATGATCAAATTGCCGGCGAGGGGGCGGAGAGAGAGAGGAAACTTAAAAACATCACACATGAAAAGACACATTACATATTAAGGAACAAAGATAAGAATGACAGAATTTTGTCAGAAACTCTGCAAGTCAGAGGTCAAAGTTGTGACATTCTAAAAAGGCTGAAATTAAAAAAAAAACTTTCAGATGAACAAAAGCTGAGAGAATTTATCACAAACCTGTACTGTGAGAAATATTAAAGTAAGCTGTTCATACAAAGGACATGATACTAGATGAAATATGGATCTACACAAAAGAATGAAGAGTAAAGAAAAAGCAAATATGTGGCTAAATATAAAAAATATTTCTCATTTTTAACATTTAAAAAAGACAGTCTAGTGAATTTTATCAAACAAACAAGGAAGAATTAATAGCAATCCTTCACAATTTTTTTTTAAATTGAAGGACCATTTCCCAACATACTGTATGAAGGCAATATTAATCTGATACCAAAACTAGACATATATATCACAAGAAAAGAACACTACTAACTAATGTTTCATTAATAACATTAAAATCCTCAACAAAATACCAGCAAAGGGTCATACACCACGACCAAGTTGGATTAATCTCAGGAATGCAAGATTGGTTGTATATATATAAAAAAATCAATGTCATATACCATATTAATAGAAAATAAAACAACACATGATCATCTGAATAGATGCAGAAAAAAATTTTTGGATAAAATCCAACACCCTTTCATGATAAAAATACAAAGGAAACTAGAAATGGAAGGAAACTCCTTAGCCTATTTAAAACAACAACAACAACACACACATACATCTACAAAAAAACCCCACAACCAATCTTTAGACCTATGCTGAAAGACTCAATGTTTCGCACTTAAAATCAGGTTGTACTTGCCACTTCTGTTCAACTTTGTACGGAAAGGTCTAGTCACTGCAGTTAGGAAAAAAGAAATGGAAGAAAGGAGGGAGGGAGGAAGGGAGAAAGGAAAATAGGGAGGGACAGAAGGAAGAAGGAAGGAGGAGTATTGGATTAGAAAAGCAGCAGCAAATTTATCTCAATTTGCAGATGACATCATATTATATATGGAAAACCCTAAGTTTTTCACATAACCACACACCCCCCACACACTATTAAAGCTAATAAATGAGTTCAGCAAGGTTGCAAGACATAATATCAAACAGAAAAATCAATTGTATTTCTATATAGTGAAAACTATTTAGTTTGCAATAAGGAAACTGAAAATGAAATTAAGAAAATCACTCTGTTTACAATAGCATCAAAAAGTATAAACTAGGAATAAATTTAACAAAAGTGCAAGACTTCTAAACTAAACACTATAAAACATTGCTAAGAGAAATTAAAGAAGACCTAGATAAATGGAAAAACATCCATGTTCATGGATGGAAGACAATATGGTTAAGATGGAAATAGCTCCAAAATTGATAGATTCAATGCATTCCTTATCAAAATCCCAGAAGGCTTTTTGAAGATATTGGCAAGGGGATCTTAACATTAATATGTTAATATTAATGAGTGTGTCGTAGATACCCAAGACTACCCTCAAGTTTGAGGATTCACTAGGGGGACTCACAGGACTCAGCATACAGTTGTACTCATGGCTATGATTTATTACAATGAAATGATACAGAAAAAAATCAGCAAAGGGAAAAGATGCACAGGGCAAAGTGAAGGAAACAAGATTCCTGCTTCCAACGGTCTTCTCCAAGTGAAGTCGCACACAATGTGCTTAATTTCCCCAGCAATGATTTGTGACAACATGTGTGAAATGTCCACAGTGAAGCTCATTAGGCAGTCAGTGCCCAGGGAATTCACTGGGGCACTCCACGTGCTATGCGGGCACCCTCTGACTAGCATGTACCACAACTTCAGACTCCCAGAAGGAAGGCAGGTGTTCAAATAAACCATACTGTTTATATAAACAGTTCAAACACAGTGAGCCACTTTTATTAAAAATCCAATTTCCAGGCAAGATCCAACCTAGTAGAAAGGTCTTTTTTTAATCATAAGCCTGCTATATTACTCTTTTCTGCACAGCAAGTGACCCAGAAAAGTCGAAACAATCTTGAAAAAAGAAGAAATTTGGTGGACTCACATTTCCTGATTTCAAAACTTACTATAAAGTTACAAAAATAAAAAAATGTATAGTACTGGTACAAAGATAGACCTACCAATCAATGGAATAGAATTGAGAGTCCAGAAATAAACCCTTACATTTATAGTCAATTGATTTTCTTTTTTTTCTTTTTTTAAAGATTTTATTTATTTGACAGAGAGAGACACAGCGAGAGAGAGAACACAAGCAGGGGGAGTGGGAGAGGGAGAAGCAGGCTTCCAGCCGAGCAGGGAGCCTGATGCGGGGCTCAATCCCAGGACCCTGGGACCATGACCTGAGCTGAAGGCAGATGCTTAACGACTGAGCCACCCAGGTGCCCCTATAGTCAACTGATTTTCAACAAGGATAACAAGACCATTCAATGGGGAAAAGACAAACAACAAGGGCTGAAAAAAAAAGTTTTGAAAAAAAAAAGACAGACAACAAGTGTTGGTGAGGATGTGAAGGATTCAAATCCTCATACATTGCTGATTGGAAAGTAAAATGATGTAGCTGTGGAAAAGTTTGACAGTTCCTCAAAATATTAAGAATGGAGTTATCATATGATGTAGCAATTCCACTTCTAGGTATGTACCCAAGAGAATTGAAAACATACTTCTACACAGAAACTTGCACATAAATGTTCATAGCAGCATTATTCATAATAGCCAAAAAGTGGAAGCAACTCACATTCTATAAACTGATAAATGAATAAATAAAATGCAGTAGATCCATTCAATGGAATACTGTTCAACAATAAAAAGGAGTTAAGTACTGACACATGCTATAATATGCATGAATTTTAAAAACATGCTAAGTGAAAGGACTCAGTCACAAAGACAACATATCATATGATTCAGTTTACATGAAAAGTCCAGAGTAGTCAAACCTATAGGGACCAAAAATAGAGTAGGGATTACCTAGGATGGAGAAATGGGGAGTGACTGCCAATAGATACAGGATTTCTTTGTGGGGTAATGAAAATGTTGTAAAATTTATTGCAGGGATGGTTGCATAACTAAATATACTAAATATATACTAAATTTCGGAATATACTAAAAACAATTGAATTGCACACTTTAAATGGATAAATTGCATCTTGATAAAGCTGTTTTTTAAACGAGATTGTTTATTTTGATTCTGTCCCAGTAGTTTATCTTTGCTTTTGTTTCCTTTGCCTCAGGAGACATGTCGAGAAGGATGCTGCTATGACCAATGCCAGAGAAATTACTGCCTGTACTCTCTTCTAGGATTTTTATGGTTTTGGGTCTCACATTTAGGTCTTTAATGCATTATGAGTTTATTTGTGTGTGTGGTGTAAGAAAGTGGTCCAGTTTCTTTTTTTTTCTTTTTTTTTTTTGCATGTAGATATTCAGTTTTCCGGGCACTATTTATTGAAGTGACTCTTTTTCCCATGGCATATTTTTGCCTCCTTTGTTGAAGATTAATAGATTAACTGACCATATAATCATGGATTTATTTCTAGGTTTTCTATCCTATTCCATTGATCTATGTGTCTATTTTTGTGCCAGTATCATACTGTTTTGATTACTACAGTTTTGTAGTATAACTTAAAATCTGGAATTGTGATATCTCCAGCTTTATATTTCTTTTTCAAGAATGTTTTGGCTATTCAGGATCTTTTGTGGTTCCATACAAATTTTAGGATTGTTTGTTCTAGTTCTGTGAAAAATGCTGTTGGTATTTTAGGGATTGCATTAAATCTGTAGATTGCTTTGGATAGTATGGATATTTTAACAATATTTCTTCTTCCAATCCATGAGCATGGAATAGCTTTCCATTTATTTGTGTCACCTTCAATTTTTCTCATCAGTGTTTTATAGTTTTCAGTGTATAGGTTTTTCATTTCCTTGGTTAAGTTTATTCTTAGATATTTTATTATCTTTGGTGCAATTGTAAATTGGATTGTTTCCTTAATTTCTCTTTCTGCTGCTTCATTATTAGTGTATAGGAATGCAACAGATTTCTCTACATTGATTTTGTATACTGCGACCTTACTCAATTCATTTATCAGTTTTAATAATTTTTTGGGGTAATCTTTAGGGTTTTCTATATATACTATCATGTCATCTGCAAATAGTGAAAGTTTTACTTCTTGTTTACCAATTTCCTTTTCTTATCTGATTGCTGTGGCAAAATAAAAAGCTTTTGCATACAAAGGAAACAAACAATAAAACTAAAAAAAAAACAACCTACTGAGTGGGAGATGTTTGCAAATGACATATCTGATAAAGGGTTAGTATACCAAATATATAAAGAACTGATTTAACTCAACAGCCAAACACCAAATAATCCAATTAAAACATGAACAAAAGACATGAACAGACATTTCTCCAAAGAAGACATCCAAATGGCCAACAGACACATGAAAGGATGCTCACTCAACATCACTCATCATCAGGGAAATGCAAATCAAAACACAATGAGACATCACCTCACACCTGTCAGAATGGCTAAAATCAAAAATACAAGAAACATCAAGGGTTGGCAAGGTTGTGGAGAAAAAAGAACCATTGTGCACTGTTGGTGGGAATGCAAACTGGTGCAGCCACTCTAGAAAACAGTATGGAGGTTCCTCAAAAAATTAAAAATGGAACTACCCTATGATCCAGGAATTGCACTACTTGGTATTTATCCAAAGAATATTCAAACACTAACTCAGAAGGATATATGCACCCCTGTGTTTATGGCTGAATTATTTACAATAGCCAAATTATGGAAGCAGCCCAGTGTCCATCAATAGATGAATGGATAAAGAAGATGTGGTATATATATACAATGGAATAGAGAATGAAATCTTGCCATTTGCAACAACATGGATGAAACTAGAGGGTATAATACTAAGTGAAATAAATCAGTCGGATAAAGACAAATACCATATGATTTCACTCATATGTGGAACTTAAGAAACAAAACAAACAAATGAAGAAAAAAAAGGGAGAGAAACCAAAAAACAGACTATTAACTATAGAGAATAAACAGGTGGTTACCAGAGGGAAGGTGGGGGTGGGGAATGGGTGAAATAGGTGAAGGGATTAAGAGTATACTTATCATGATGGTCAATGAGTAATATTTAGAATTGTTGAATTACTATATTGTACACTGAAACTAATATAACACTGTATGTTAACTATACTGGACTTAAAAAATTAAAAAAATAAGGAAAAGACAATCTAAAGCAAAAATATTATAGCAGTGCATTGTGGAGTATATTTCATATTTAGAATTAAAACCTATGGCAACAATAACATAAAGCATGGAATGAGAAACTTGAAATATGCTAGTATAAGGTTCTTATGTTTTAAATGAAATGGTATAATATTATTTGAGTATAGACTGATAAGTTAAAGATATAACTGATAAACCCTAAAGCCACACTAAGCACATGATACAAAGAGGTATAACTAATAAGTAAATAATGACTATGAAATGGATTCATAAAAATTCTCAATCTGGAGGCAGCTGGGTGGCTCAATCAGTTAAGTATCTGCCTTTGGCTCAGGTCATGGTCTTGGGGTCCTGGGATCAAGTCCCACGTCAGGCCCCTGCTCAGTGGGGAGTCTGCTTCTCCCTTTCCCTCTGCCTCTCTCCCTGACTCATGCTCTCTCTCTCAAATAAATAAATAAATAATTCTCAATCTGGAAGAAGATAGAAAAGAATAAAGGGCCAAAGAACAGATGGAACAAACAGAAAACAAAGATGGTAGATTTACTCCAATTAAAGGCAGAGATTGTCAGACTAAATTAAAAAGTAAGCCCCTACAATATGCCACCTACAAGACACTTTAAAAATAAAGATGAATATAGATAAAAAGTAAAAGAATGGAAAAAGATATGCACACTCTAGCACAATTTAAATGGCTATATTAATATCACAGTACACTTCAGAAAAGGAATATTACCAGAGATAGAAAGGAACCTTACATATTGGAAAAGGGATTGATTAATCAGGAAGACATAATCCTAACTGTATATGCATTCAATTACAGAGTTTCAAAATAGCTGAAGCAGAAACTGACAGAACTGAAAAGACAGATAATTTTAAAATTAGAGATTTCAACATTATTTCAGCAAATAATAGGGCAAGAAGACCCCCTAAAAAGTCATATGAACAAAAAGATTTGAATAATATTTGTCCTAATTGGCAGTTATAGAATAGTTGAGATTTCATCACTCCTCTCTCAGCAATTGATAGAACATTTAGAGAAAATAAATTAGTAAAGATTTATAAAATACAGCAAAGATACAAAAATATTAAAGTGTCTTTCAAAAAAGACACAATTTGACTGAATTGATATTTATAGAACACTCCACTCAACAAAAGCAGAATACACATTCTTTTCAAGTGTACATAGACTATTTACCAAGATAGGCCATATTCATAGCCATAAAACAAGTCTCAGTATATGTAAAATGATTAAAATCATATAAAGTTGTTCTTTGACCACAGTGGAATTAACTAAAAATTAATAACAGGAAGATATATGGGAAAGTCCTCAGATATTTGGAAACTAAGTACAACCATGGTCAAATACAATGAGTCAAAGAAGAAATCACAAGGGAAATTAGAAAATATTTTGAACTAATTGAAAAAGAAGATACAATTTATCAAGTTCGTGAGATGTAGCTAAAGCAGTGCTTAGAGAAAAATGAATAACATTAAATGCTTATATATGAAAAAAGAAAAATCTCAAGTCAATGATCTAAGTTTCAGAAACTAGAAAAATAGGAGCAAGTTAAACCTAAATAACATTAGGAAGGAAATGAAAAAGATGAAAAGTTATTAATGAAATAAAAAATGAAAAAAATAGAGAAATATAAAAGAGAAAAAATAGAGAAAAATAAAACCCAAAGCTGGTTCTTTAAAAAACAACAAGAGCAACAGCAACAGCAACAACAATTGACAAACCTCTAACCCAGAGACGGCTAACATTTCCTATAAAATAGGGCCAGATAATAAGTATTTTACACTTTGTGAGCCATTCAATCCACCCAACTTGCAACTACTGAATTCTGCCATTGTAGCATGAAAGTGGGTATATACAATATCTAAACATATGAGTGTGGCTGTATTTTAATGTATTAAAATACATTAAAATGTATTTTAATACATTTTATTTACAAAAAAAGGCAGCAAGACAGACCTAGTAAAATAGGTAAAGTTTGCTCATCTTTAGCCAGACTGACATTGGAGAGATAGACCACAAATTACCAAAATCAGGAATGAAAAAGGGGCATCACTACAGGTTGTACAGATTCCATGATCAGCCATTTATTCCTGGGCAGTACTTACCCCACTTCCCAACCATGTCTATTGAATAGGCCAGAATGTAGAAACCATGTGCCTTCAAAGCTGACATGCATTTATTGAGTAACTAATTTATGCTAACAGGCAAAACAAAGATCCCTGCACTCCTGGACTTATCTTCTAATCAAGGAGATGGAGAATAAACAATGTGTAGATTACCTTGTATGCTAGAAATGGTAAGAACTTCGAAGGAAAATAGGACACAGGAAGGAGAGTGGGAGTGCTGGGAGTTTTAAATGGTGTAAGATCCAGGAAGGTCTCATGGAGAAAGTAGCGTTTGAACAAAGATCTGAAGGTGGTAGTAGAGCAAGCCAAGAAGAATGTTCCAGGCAAAGGGAACAGCCAAGGCACAGGCCCTGAGACTGTGCCATCCCTAGCACATCTGAGGAAAAGCAAAGGCCAAAATGGCTAGAGTGGAATGAATAAAGGAGAGAGAGATAAACACAGAGGTAAGAGCTGTACCAGGGACAGCTCAGTGTAGGGACTTATGGTCTATGATGCAGACTTGGGTTGGGAAGACCTGCAGTAAAGGGGTTGTGAACACTGCAGGGATGAGCACCATGAATAAAAGGAAAAAGATCAACAAAAAATTAAAGAGAGCAATAGTGGAGTCACTTCAAGAATTGGGCCTTTCAGACCTGGGATTAGGGAGGTGCTAGCAAGATTTCTCCTGCCTCCTTCCTGCACAAAGAAATGTATTCTAGAGGGTTGAGGACACCTACCCGCCCATTCTCCATTTCTTGACATGCCATCAGGATCACCTAGACAAGAAGGGTAAGGGAAGAGGGGAGTGATTTGGGTTAGGGAATTGGAGAAACAAGGCTAAGGGAGGACTCAGAATGTTAGTCCCACCTCACCGTCCTCTAAGGCTGACCTTGACCCCAAACTCCCAGACCAGGCGCCAGAAGTCTAGCAAGGTGTGAGGCAGGGGTCCTTGTGTGGCGATGTAGGCCTGGCTTCCGTCTGTGCCCTGGTAAAGGCTAAGTTCATCACCGAGATCTGGCTGTCACCCCTCCAAGTCCACCCCTTCCCTGACTCCCAGCCTGACCCGGATGAAGTTGCCATTGATGTAGTCGCCATGTCCCTCCTCCTGGAGCAGGGAGAGGATCACTCGTGTCTGATCATCTGCCAGCGGGAGAGGTGAGAAAAGTGCTTTGGGGTGATAGGAGCATCAAAGCCCTGATGGCCTCCTGGATGAAAGCCAGCAGGGTTACTGCACACCCAGCAGGGATCCCACCTGGGTGCACTTCTTGTGAGCTGCTCAGGAGAAATGCAGCCATTGCAAGGATCTGAGAGGGAGTGCACTGGGAGCACAGTGGGGTGGACTGGACTGTCATGGGATGGAGGATGTGTGCAGATCTTCACTGACTCCCTCTGGAAGCCCCCGACTTACAGGGCAGCACATCTTTGTAGCGGTTCTTCGTCACGTTTCCCGGCAGACTGCCAGCCTCAGTGGAGCACACACGTTCAGTCTTCCATGCGGCTGAGCAGGCCTGGATGTCCTGGCGGAAGCCACCGTTAGCCGACCCAGGAAAGGGAGGAGAGAGGAAGAGAAGAGCAAGGTCAGAGTTCTGGGGCACAGAGGCACTTGTAGGGATACAAGGTACATGGCCTGTGAGAGGTGAATTCAGACTCTTAGATAGCATGGTGCCTGGGTAATTGTAGTGATACAATAGTAATAGCAACTCAGAGCACCTTCTCTATGCCAGGCTCTGTGCTAATGACATTGAATCATTACAAGGTCACCCCGAAGTTAGTACTATTATTAATGTCCCCATTGTGTAGGTAAGAAAGCTGACGCACCACATGATTGAGTGACTTGCCAAAAGTCCCACCCAGTGAGGGTTGCACTCAAACCTCTCAGCATCTATCCCCTAAATGCTCAAACTGTGTTACATTGTATTGTAAACAATAATTGTAATGGAACATGTATTTAATATAACAAACATGATGTATGATAAATGTGACAATATACAATGTATATGAATTATAATGTATAACATTACTTATGTAACAAAATATTACAGATACTTTGTTACTGTTAGATTATTATAATTCATGAAGTGTATTACCATCATATCAGCTATTCAAAATCAGACGATAGTAAGTAACACCTACCAATGCCTACGACGCTGCATTAGCATTCCTTACACATGGCTTGCATCACGGCATTGTAATGTTCAGAATATTTATAACTAGTGACAAAGGATCCTACAAACTGAGCGCTCAAGATGTGCTAGGCGCTTTTTTACCCACACCAGTTCCTCAGGTCATTAGCAGTTGCGTTTTACCCAAGGAGAAACTGACGCCAGAGGACCTGGGTAAAGTACCCTAGGTCACAGGGCCTATTAGAGTCCGGCATCCACACCACCCCCCCCTCTTCCCCCCCACCCGCAGTAGGGCTTCTTGGTTCCTCTTCCCCTAACCCCTTCTTCCACATGATCACAGAAGTGATCACCGGGGTGCCTGGAGAGGCCCGGGTGACCGGTGTCAAGCGCAAGTGCACGCCTGCCTTCCCTTGCTGCGCCGGCTTCTCCTGCCCCGCCCAGTAGCGGGACTGTTCCGGGAGCTGGATGAGGGCACAGTGACAGAAGGGCGTGTACGGCACCGCCCAACCCGGCCGTGGACTTCGCCCTCTGGGGTTCTGTGGTCAGAGGATGAGGACAGAGACAGGGGAGAGAGCGACAGACAGGTGCCGGGGGGAGAAAAATAGACCTTGAAGCGAGGAGACACCCTGGACGCATAAGGAGGGGGACGCAAAACGCGACAGGGCGCACAGGACAGACATCGGACAGCCCAGGACCAGGAGACTGAGTGCGCGGTTTGGCCGTCCACTCTCGCCCACTTACGCTGAACTCGCCAGCAAGGATCGCCCTCTCCCTGCCGCCTCGCGCCTCCAACTGCTCCAAGAAGCTCCGCGCAGCGTCCAAGTTGTGGCTCATGACGCCGTGGGCCAGTGAGGTCCAGTACAGCTGCTGCACTCGGCTCAGCTAGTAGCAAGAAAGCTGGAGGTGGAGGCGGGCTGCGGAGGTCCCGCCTCCTATCTGGCAACCCAATGGAAGCGCGCAACAGCCGGCAGGGCTCGCCTCTCGGCCAATGACATTCGGAGCTCGCCCCGGTACCGCCCACAGGCTCCGGGACCCGGGCAGCCTCGGGAGCCCTACGTTCTCTCCCGCTGGGCCTGGGAACTGAGTCCAGCGCAGGTGCTTCCCTTTTTATGCGCGCCGGGCATGTTGGCTGCGTCCGCACAACCCCCTGGACGCTTTCTCCTGCTTGTTCCCAGGATCCACGTCCCGGGCCAACCTTCCTCCAAGGGCGCGCGTTGGGTAGATGGCCTTGCATTCTCGCCTGGCCTCCCAGGTCCAGTCTCCCTGAGAGATAGACTAGGCTCCGAACCAGAGAGGCGGCGCGACAGCTGTGAGTGGAGATGGTCGCGGAGATCGAGCTGCAAGTCCTGCCTCGAGGAGCCTGGGTTGGGGGCGTCCCTCACTGTGAGCTCCAGCGGCGGGGCCCGAGGGAGGTCACGGGAGGTTGCCGAGGTTGCCGCGGGTGGGGGGGGGTGGTGACACCTGGACACCCCTGCTGTGAGAAAGACCGAATGGAAGCGGCTGTTTCTGTATCTCTGTATTTCCCGAGGTTCCTTTTTCTGGGTCGGGCTAGGAGGAGCTGGGGGCGCCAGGATCCTTTCTGAATTTAAGGATCTCAACCCGCATAAACCTGCAGGGAAACAGAACTGAGGCGGTCAAAGTGGGTTCCAGGGGGAAAGATGTTCTCAGAGCTTTCAAAGAGCTTCTCTTTTTGCTGTCTCCACACCCTCAACTTCAGAAAATGCGCAGGAAAAGGCCAGGAGAACCACTTGGTGACCCAGTTCCCCGGGTAACCAAGGGGAGGCTGGAGAAAGCAGGGAGGAGCCTAGGGGTCCTGCCTGGGTAGATGGGCCAGCCCACCCCTCACCCAGCAGGGCTCCAGGAGTCATGGAAGGAATTTCTGGGGGTGTCACTGGAGGGGGTGTCTGTGGAGTTCAGTTTGAGGTCGTTGAGGTGTGAAAGGTTAACCAATGGGGTAAGGTGTACTTTAAGTGCTTGAGGGGTCAACAAGGTCATTGGTTCAGGGTGTGGATTTAATTAATTATGGATTATTAGAGTGTTGTTTAAGTTAGGGATGGGCAAACTCTTTTTTTTTTTTTTCAAAAGGCTTTGGTTTTTGGCTTTGCTGTCTCTGGTGTCTGTCCCAGCTACTCGACTCCACCATGGCAGTGTGAAAGCAGCCATAGGCCACATGTAAAGAAATGAGTGTGGCTATATTCCAATAAAACTATTTGTGGACACTGAAATTTTAATTTCATGTAATTTTCATGTGTCACAAAACATTTCTGTGTGTGTAGCCTGAGCTGTGTAACCTGGTTTAATGACCCAGGTTTCTTTTTTTTTTTTTTCCGGTTTGAAACCATACTTTATTTTTAATGTAGCTAGAAATCAAATAACTATATATTTTTAAGCAGAAAAAAACTCCTTTACTTTTCCTTCTTATATCATTGTTAGCACAAGAAAAAACACTTCTGGTTTAGAAATGATACTGAGTTTCTATGAAAATGCGTGTACTTTGTATTTCTGGAACTTAAAAGCACAGGACACATTTTCAGAAGACCAATTTTACTTTTACCCACTTATGGTAATATTTGCAATGTTCAAATGTACTTAATATATAATTAAGTAAATCAAATAAGGAACCCAAAAGGAACTGGTCTTCTTGAGTTATTCACAGCACACATTAGAAAATCTGAGAGAGAACACACATTAACAACAACAACAAAAAAACCACTGGCAAGCTCAAACGCAAGTTTATATGCTGAGTATTTTTAAAGGGTTTAAAAAGCATGCTCAGTTAGCATACAGCCTTTTCTCACTCATATAACAGATGCATTTCTATCTGCTTGTGTACAGCAAAGGGTTAGAACCTGAATCGACTTACTTAAGACTTCAGAAACGTGCTACTTCAAAAATGTATTCCATGGGATTTTTTTCACTGCTCCTACCACTGATTCTTCAAAATAAGTAAAGTACAGAGGGTCTCATCCCTACCCTTGAAACTGTTTTTAAACATCAGCACTTTAAATTGAAAGATAGGTAGAACCCTAGCAATTCCTGGTACAGTGCCTGGACTTTGTACTGACTCAGGTTTAAGTGACAGAAGTCAAAGTGGATGATCACTGGTTTTGTTTGAGGGGTTGGGTGGGATCACCGTGGACTCAGTGTTTATTAGTTTCATCTCTAAGAGTTCAAAGATGGTCAGTAGTGATCATTGAGAATGGACATTTATAGTGAATTCATTGGAGGTCAGTGAGAGTTCTTTGGATGTTCATGGGCAACTGTCATCAGATGTTATTAGCAGTCATTGGAGGTCAGTGAGAGACAGTGAAAGTAGCTGAAGGGCCATTGGGATTTGGAGTGGTAGTTTAAGTAACTGAGGGATCAAAAGAAGGAAGGTCATTGAGGGCTCCTGCTCAGTGCACTATAGTGTATGTCAATGAAATCACTGAGATTTTGTGGATGGTCATGGGTTTTTGGAGACTCAGGGAGGTGGGATACAGAAGTATCAGGGAACTTTGAGGAGATATGGATGTTCAATGAAGGAGTCATGGACACTCTTTAGTCTGAGTACTCATGGATACTAATGGCAGTCATTAGGGACTAGTGGATACCAGAGTAAATGAGGAAGAGTCACTGTGGGATCATGAAATGTCTTTGTGGACCCTGGTGTTAGTGGATGTCATTGGAGGTCAAAGGTCACTGGAAACTGGTGGTACCTGGGGAGCAGATGCAACATTGAAGGGTCATTGGGCCATCCATATCATCTATGGTGGTGACTGGGAGGCAGGAAGGCTGACCCAGAAGCTGGGGTCTGGCTAGCTGGGGATCTTCTGACCAGTGACTGAGGGTCTGTTTGTCCAGTGGGGGGATGTATCTATCTGTCCACCTGGCTTTTCAGGGTGATGTTTATCTTGCTAAGGGCTTGGCTTTCTCATAGGCTGGGGTCTGTCTTACTGGCAGGAGCAAAGCCTGTCAAGCTGAGGTCTGCCTAATTTACTGGGTAGGTGGGGTATCTCTCTGCTGGGGTAATGTCTGTCTGTCCTTGAGGGATTTTGTCTTTTGGTTGGCTGGGATCACCTAATTGGCTGGCACCGGGAAGGTGTCCATGTGTCTGACCACAGGTCTTTCTGGATGTCTGGCTGGGTATCTTCCCATTTGTTCAAGAATCTGTCCATTTATCTGGCTGTCTGTCCCTCTGGAGTCTTTTTTGTCTCCCTGGGATTTTGTCCATCCAGAAGTCTGTCTAGCCAGGGGTCTGTGTGTCTGCCTATTTGGGGATCTTTCTATCTGGTTCAAAATCTTATGGCTTATGAACAGAATGGCTGAGGCTGTAGCCCACCTGTCATGCTTCCAGCTGGATTGGCTATTTTTGGTTGCATGTTCGCCCTAACTCCATGCCCGCCTCTCACTGTTTAATTTGTGTGTCCCGCTGACTATCCCTCTAGGTCTCTCCAGATACCCAAATGCTCCTGGCTTGCAATCTACTCAGCTCAGGCTGGTGTGGGGGATGGGGAGACCCATGGGATTTCCTCCAGTAGCCCAGCCTGTCCCACCTCTCCCTTCTCCCAGAGGATTGCATGCCATGTTCTTACAATGGGATTTGCTGCTGCTAGGGGCTCTTTTGTTCACCCTATTGGTGGCAATCCCATGAAGTGGGAGCAGAGGGCACTGCCCTTGAAGATCCTAAGTATCCCGATGCCCACATGCCACATGCCAATCTGCCTGTTTGCCTGCTCATAGTGCTCACTCAACAGAGGCAAGTGAACTGGGTGCTGGAGGTGCTTAGGTAAGCTTTCCTAATGCTGTGAGGAACCCAGGTTGAGCAGATGTTGCAAAGGGAAAAATTGTAACTTTATAATGGAGAAAGATAGATACCACCTTAACCCAGGGAGCTTGTTGGGAGATACTTTGAGACTATCGATAATACTACTGTACAGTTCTTCTCCGGCTTCCTTTTTTGATAGACCAAAAAGGGCAGAAGACATTTGAAAAAAATTCTCCCGCTGCTCCTGTTAAGAACCTGCAGGCAGGGTGGGCTGACCTGTGGGTCCATCCACAAATGTGGTGCTTAGCAAACAGGAAAAAGGACATTGATTCCAATAGGGGCAGCTTGTGCCCACCAGTGACTGCAGCTGACTACCTTTGGGAGGGCTTTTGTTAGTCTCCCTAACTCCTCAGGGGTTCTGGATTTCAGTGTTCTGAAACTGAGGATCCCTTCTGGTCCCCTTCTGGGAAAAAAAGCAGCAGCTTAGAACTGGGGGAACACAGCCCAAGGAGAAAGCCACCCTATGTTTCTCAGTCCTCCTGCCAACCCACATGACCTCTCTGTGGAGGCTGGTTTCTACTCCTGGGAACTGCCCTGTTGTTCTGCTTCACAGAGGGAGGGGGAAAGCCCTCTTCCTCATCTTTAAAAAATGACATCCTTAAAATGTTCATACCAACCAGCCCCACTCTTCCAGGGCAGAGCCTGGGTATCTTCATCACCCAGAGTGAGCCCCAGATGCTAGTACATGCCTTTGGAGGAAATAAACTCAGCCCTGGGCTCTGTGCCAACGGCTCCAAATGCCGTAAGCTTTAGGCAAACAAATGCTCTGACAGTGATGCTGGTAGCATTCTGGGGCCTCTGGTCAGGTCACCCTGCATCCTTGGCTTGCAGCTTCCACACCCAACTTTAGCTCAGCCCAGCACTTTATTTGGAAAAGACCAACTAGTCACGTTCTTTTAAGCTTAGTCTGGCTGGAGTTCTGCATAGCTAAGGGCTCTTCTGTGGGTGCTGAATGCAGAGCCCATGGCGTCACAACCAAAGGGAGGTATGGATCTTCTCCATCGCTTTCTGCCCCTCAATTATAAAACCAGAGAGAAGTTAAGTGCACATCTATGTCTGGGCAAGTATGCACATCTCTGGAAGGATTCCTGTAATGAGACCAAGAGC